TATGAGCAGTTACTCGTTTTGGAAAAATAGGGGATTAGGACCCTGGTTGGTTGGGTGGGAGTAATTTTTAGAATTGATTTTTTAAAGATTACGAAAAAAATAGGTTTAATTGTGAGAAAAAAAGTTAAATTAACGATTGAATAGTGAAATAACGATTAAAAAATTAATTTCTTGAAAAAAAATCGCTCAAATCAGCCCTATATATTGGAGGCCTTACATTTAGAAGGAAATAAACCAGTTGATTGTGGACACGTAGAGGACGACGGCCGACTATATGGAACGGACCGGTTGGCTGACAGATCCCGCTCAATGAATTATTCTCACAAATGACAAATCTAACTTGTGGTATGTTATTACACCATTAATTACTTTTCTTATAATAATGATTTGAAAAACATCCAAAATAATTTATTTAAAAACTTGCATTTAATTTTATTTAAAATTCCAAAACTATAGTCTATAGAGAATAAAAAAATGTTGGAGATGACATCAAATAGATGAGTCAAGTGCGTCAATTTTGATTAATAACTTTTTTCCATTAATTCAAAATACCTTTTTTCTTTTAAAATAATATTTGGTTTATCTCAAAGTTTGTTTGGTAAGGATTTTGAGAATTGATTTTTGACCGTTAGAGATAAAATAAATCTTATTTGTGAAAGAAGAATTCAGAAATGACAATTAGAATAGTGACATAACGGTCAAAAAATTGATTGTAATTGACTTAAAATCTAAACCAAACAAGCACTCAATTTCTTGATTTTGTTGTGAGAATTATGGGTTATTTTGAATGTACAACTTTACGGCTCCCATGTGAGGGGGCTGTGTGTCTTGCTGTACAGCAAGCACAACTCGAGCAATATATGCATATGGTCTCTCTATTACAATTTCATGATCTCAACATTGATCGTATGTCTTAGAATTAAAAAGATGAAACAAAATCTCTTTCTGTCACTTGTTTCAAGCCCCATTTGTTCCCAACTTTTTAAAATTCATTTTTTCCAAAACTCATTGTTAACTATATATTTTATGAATCTTACAACTTTTATCAACTTTTCAATAACATATTTTATCGTCATTTATCAAAATTTAGTAAAAATATAAATTTTATTCAAACCAAACAGGAGTTGAATCGGTCTACTAATATTGGTTGAGGATTGACTTCTTATCCATTCAGTCCCTTTGTTTGGGTTCTGTGGAGTGCAAGACGGGTAGGCACATAGCAATACCCAGAAGCTGGACAGGCATGGACTCTATGAACTAGATTTTGACTTCTTCTCTTATTTAGGCCCTGTTTGAGTCACATTTTTTCAAAAAATTACATTTTTCAAAAATGATTTGATATCATTTTAATCACACATTCTTTCATAAAATAATATTATACGTAAATCTAAAATTTTTCCTTATTTCTTAGCCACGCATTTCCCATCAATACACTATTTAAAAATACATTTTCATTCCAATAATTTAGCTCAAACAAGGGCTTAACAATGTCCAATTGTGTTTAATATCGTGTACCAAACTTCGTGTGAGATACTAATACTTACAAAATATACAATCTTTCATGCCGAGTGGGGTTTTAGCATTCCATGATGCAAATATAGTTCTTCACGAGTGTGTTATTACACAGAATTCATGGGACAACAACCTTGACTGAATCAAAGTTTTTCAGAGAAAACCCAGTACAATGTTGTACTGGCAGGTCGTCCACTGCCACCATCTTTAAACTTTGTCGTTGAGCTGAAGAAAAATGTGTGATCAGGTTAATAAGGAACGGGAACTCTGACCGTGGTTGGACCTGATTTCATGTCCTCCAAAATGAGATTTAGGAGGTCCCGAGTCACCGGACCTTCTTTGCCTGCAATGAAAGAAGAATATATATGTTTGATAAGTAATCCAAAAGGCGGAACTAATTAGGAGTCCACACACATATTTGTCAAATCATTGTGTATAAGAGTTAAATAAGATTGAAGAAATGATTTTATGTGAGACTGTTTATGAACTGATTGAGGAAAATTTTTATTAAAGTCGAAACAATTATGTTAGATATCACTCAATTTTCTAATATTATCCCCAAAAGGAACATATATCTTGCATTTTTCTAAACTTGTTGTCATGTCCTCAGATGAAACCTCCTGAGTTTTACCAATGCAAGAAATTCAACATGATATTTTTCACTGAAATGAATCTGGA